GTCGCAGTCCTCCTGGCACTTAACAGCATATACAATATTGCTCTGTTTGTGCCGGGGCACCGGATCTTTGGGGTGAATTGGGGCCATGTGATGTGAGTATCAGTCACATGGAGGCAGTGCTTAAAAGCCTGAATTTTGCCTGAAACTCTCAGACTGAAGAAGCCTCTTGGAGGAGAGACGAAACGTTTCATTAGAGAAGAACCCGTCAAGAAGACCTATACAATTTTTTTCTTTTTGATTTTTTACCTGGATTACTGAGATGCATCAGGACAACAATTAAGTTTTTTTTACAACCAAATAGTAAATCTAAAGTATTCTAAATGTCTATATTGATTTGGTTAAAGTGCTTTTACTGGCCTGTTTTGACATAATAGACATAAAAGTCATTTTTAGGTTCAAATCGACTCTTTTATTGAATCTATTACTGTTTAATAAACAAATAAGAAGTCATTTTAATTTCGATTAAGGTGCCAAGACTTTTTATGAGTTTTAATTTTAAATTTGTGAAAATCTGCCACTATTTAAACTTGTTTCCTTCTGCTTTCTGTCACCATTATGTTAGTTCTGAGTTCCTCACTTTAAATATTCCAAGATATTTGTGTCTACCTGCAGACTCCCCGCAGCCAATGTATGCCTGCAGCACGCCGCTGAAAATAAAGATAGAAAACTGGAGAGGCACGACTTTGCCAACATCCTGCCACTCGTGCAGCCATCCGTTTTTTTTTTTTTTTTTTTGTTTCACGGGGTTGCAGTCGAAACAGAATCTAGCCGAGTGGACGGAGCGAAAGGAATACAAAGTGAAGGTTTTTTTTTCTTCTTGTGCCGCTTTTTGTATTTCCAGATGGACAGGTGCCAGCAGCGACTGGAACAGGGCCTGCCGCCGTTCCCTGAGATAGAGGAAGAGTGGAGGAGGATGCTCCGGGACAAGAAGAGGAGACAGAGGAACAAAGAGGAGAGGCAGAGGGTAAACAAGCACCGAGATCACTAGAGAAATTGAATGAAGCACTGAGGGGCAACAAAGGAACACGGATAGATTGACCAAAATATAAAATGAGTGTAGCTGTAAACATGATGAAGAGGCGGGACACTTGAGTCAGGAAGTCAGGAACTCTCTTCAACACACATGCTAATGGAAAATAACCAGATAGCTTCATACACCTGTTTATCCAGTGATGTACTAAAATACATTTCCCTACTTCCAGTCATTAATTCAAGACAATAAAACACCCTGCATGTGCAAGACCAATGTTAAAGAAATACAAAACAAAACTAGACATGGGTTTTTACGATGTAAAAACAAGTGTGCATTGCCATGTAGCATGTCATTGCAGCATGGCTTTGCCTGCAGCATTGGACTTGCAGAATGAACTTTGACCAAGTTCAAATGTGTTTTCTATACCAGCTTGTGCTTGTCATATCAGCAGGTGTTTGTAATTAAGGTAATTGTGTGACAATATGAAGTTTGAAGAGATTTTTTGTTTAAGTTGCGTTAGCCGGGTTTTGAACCATGGTTTCCCACATGAAAGTCCATGACATAGACCATTAGACCAATGGAGTTGTGGCAGAAGAAGGTGGCAGGGGTTGGTTTGTATGTGTGCAGAAAGAGGCCACATTGCCAATACAATTATTGACACAAAAATGCATAATATTACAACAATCGAGCAGTATTAAGACAATATTATAGTAWAACATCAAAATACAATCATATTAGTATTGTAAACACTGAAATACTGAGTTGAAATATCAAACTATGGTGCAGTACCAAGTTTAGTACAGCATGGGGCAGTATTGGACCAATACAAGGCTCCATTGACTGCCATTATGATTCATTAAACATTAATATTTCATAAACTATAGGTTTTACAGGCACCAAAATGCATAGCCTTCATTTGGCACAGGAGCTTTACAGATATAAATTACAATGGCAGCTCTAGGACAAAGTATGCAGGAGGAGAAGCATGCCAAAGTTGAGATGACTTGGATAGGAAACGAATCACAATAGTGTGCATTGCATTGGCAATGCACACTGATCAGAGGAACTCTTCACCGATTTATTTCTGGTTACTGTAAATGTTGCTCTGTCTATTATTTCAAAGCTATTCGTCCTTTTCTGTGTGCTCCACAGATCATATGCCAGCAGAGAAACTGTCCATGACAAAAAAAAAAAACATCTTTTACAGCCTCAGTGAGATGTAGCCACGGTTCATTTGCATGCTGCTGTGGGGTGGAAGTCGCAGAAAGAGTCACCAGGAAATGTATACAATTGAACTTGATTTTCTTTCCTRGACATGAGTCCACAGTGGTTACGCATTGATCCATCACCCACGTTGGGTTCAAATCAATCCTGCCCACTACTGTCTGTGTTCTGTAGACCGTTTTATCGACTTTATTAAAGCGGGGGGGACAAAAAAACAAAACATTTTCTTTCAGAGTTAAAATGTAGCCAAGCTGAATTGACTTATTTGCGCTTGCATTTCCTCCAAACACTTTCAGACTGAGATCAGTCTGCTTTAGTTGACTGAGAGTTCCCCCATAGAAGAATCACTTTTAGTTTTGGACGGAGATCTTAAAATGGTAAATCGAAGCGTTTAATCTGGGTAGAGATTTAAATGCAGGAGTTTCATGTTTGTAGATTTATCCAGCAGTTTTCACTGCTTTTTGAAGTCATTGTACAAACGTACTAATTGTTCCCAAATCCCTGCAGGCTGCAGTTCTTTAAAGCTTAGAAGAAAACACACACAAAAAGAAGAGAAAAAAGAAACACAACTGGTGGTTTCTGAGCTCCAAAAATTTTATTAAAATATACAAGTCTCTGTTCAACATCTTCACAGGTATTTATGTGTTCTAGACTTTATGTCAGATAAATGCTTTGTTTCAGATTTTTAGTGTTTCTGTCTCAATCAAAATGTCACTGTTCTTTTGTAGTTGTAGCCATTTTAGTTTGTCTTTGTTATTCTATGACCATTTTATGTCTTTTTAAGTCGCTCAGTACTCACTTTGCTACCGTTCAAGTACATTCTCTTAAATCTTTGTTTCTTTTCAATCTCCTTTTTCCTCTTTGTAGTCATTTATTTCTCTTTATGTAGTTGTTTTGTCTCTTTGAGGGCTTTCTTATTCGTAGTCCTTTGCAAAGTGATTGTTAAGCGGTTATTTCTCACTCTTTTTGTCCACTGCCTGGCCAAAGTCATCACCAAAAAAATTTTAAAAAATCGCTCACACACCAATATTTTATTGGATCACTTTTAGCTTTGATTACAGCATGCATCTGCCATAGCATTGTTTCAATAAGCTTCCTAGATGTGACCAACTGCAGCAACCTCAGACCATAGCAATTTTTTGCAAACTTAAAGATCATCCCCCATGAAGTAATTATCCAATAGGAGGCTCYGACCTATTGACTCAGTTAAATCTAGGTGGCAACATTTTTTTTTGGCCAGGCAGTGTACGTTTTTAGTGTCTCGTCGCTGCAATTCAATTGTCGTTTTACCATCAAACAGCAAACTTGTTAAATCTTAATTCTTTTAAAGGTTTTTCATCCCAACACAACTCATAGGTAAAAGACGACATACAGTGGTTTGCAAAAGTATTCATACCCCTTGAACTTTTCCATATTTTGTCACATTACAACCACAAACATAAATAT